ACAGAACCTACCTTCATATATCTCTAGGAGCAAGCTACCGCCCACGGCTATACTCCTTTAAACTAGCATAGTACGGTCAGTCGAACTGTAGGCACTGTAGGCTCGAAGCCCGCCGTGCGAACACGTGAATCTGTTAAAAATGCGGGCAGAGGCGGATCTACTGGCATGGAAACAGCGGTGCTTACAGCAGCCGAAGCAGCTGGCACAGGGCCCGTTGTGGGGATAAGGGGGGCTTGGAAAGGGGCGGATGCCACGGTACACCTAGTCGAAACTGTGGGTAGGGGTGGAGCTTACGGAATGGGCAAGAGTACACGTGTAACAGTCGAAACCGCAGAAACAGGTGCATCGGTGGCGGGAACATGAAAGGCATGTGGGGGGCAGACGGCACAGTACGCAGAGTCGAAACGGTACGCAAAGGTGGAGCTGCAGAGGTAAAAGTACCGCGAGAAACTGCAGCAGCAGCTAAAGCACCGAACCTTGCCAAGACACAACCGAACCAGACAACACCGTACGAATACGCCGACGACGCCAAGTGTGGTGGTATGCACGCGTGATGAAGTCTGGTAGGCCCGTGAAGAAGAACCCACTTGTTATTACTCTTGTATAACAGCAGCAGCAGTAGCTGTTGCCTTGGGTATCGGTAAGAAAGACACCAAAGGGCGCAGGATCCTCAGTACCAACAAGAGCGACTAGATCCCAGTGCTGCGCGAGCAAAAATAAAAGTTAGACGTACGTAAGTGCCAAATCTCACACTACCGTGCTGTACACTGTGAGCTACGCCCCCAAGATGAAGCACTTTGGCTGCAGATGTCTCCAATAGCTAGCGACGGACCCAAGTATTATGAAATTCCATACACCAGAGGGCTAGAACTCAGCAGTGAAAGAAAGACCTCAAGTCGACCCCCAAAAAAAAGGTAAAAGCGGCAGAGCCCCCACAGACGCGGCGGTGTTGGTAAACCCTTGGCTCTTGGAGAAAGATGTTGTATTATTGAGAAACTGCCCTCTGAGACAGGTAGGCAAAGTGGAGTGACAGCGTGTGGGGGCTAGCTCGAGTGCTCCCAGCACCCCAGCCAACGATCAACACGCCAACACAAACACTATCGGAACAATATACTACTCGCAACGTTCCAACAACGTAATGTTCCGATCCCTACAACCGAACTAGAACAATTCCTGTTGAGGGTAATCATCCCACGTGCCACATCCATGCAACGTCCACACAACGTGCACCTAACGTGCACCTAACGTGCACCCTACTGACTATCTGCTGATCCAACTCCGAACAGTATAACTTCCACAAGGAACTTTCTCTGGAACTACACAGACAGACAGTTCTGATATTCAAACCATCCAATCAGATGATCTACAGCAGCAGTTCAACCGATACACACTGCCGCTACATCACCAATACCCTCCCTAGGGGCTGTTGTATCTTACCAGACCCATAACATGTAGTTTGTCAAACAAAAACGTTTCTTCAGACTCCTACTTCCTAGAGCCCAACGCAAAGTCACGGTGAACTTCAAAAATACTCCTCGGCAGAGCCTTCGTGAGGATGTCCGCATGTTGTTTTTCGCTGGGAACATGGGTGATCTCGATCACACCCTCCTCGGTTAAATTCCTAAGAAAGTGGTGCCTCACATCGATGTGCTTACTCCTGCACGAGCTAAGCGGATTCTCTGCGAGCGCAATCGCTCCCTCGTTGTCCTCAAGGACGTCAATCTTACGAGGCTCTACACTAGGCCTCAAGAACTGAAGCATTCCGTTCACAAACAGAGACTCCTTCACACCATCGCCCATCGCAAGATACTCTGCCTCAGAAGTCGACTGTGAAACACATTTCTGCGTCCAAGAAAGCCAAGCTACAAGACAAGCAGCTACGATGACTAGTGCTCCCGAAACTGATCTACGGTCAGTGGCCTTGCTGGCAAAGTCTGCATCTACATACACCAACGTGCCTACGTCATCAACCGTACTGTCTCTCTTGTACTTCAGAGTTAGATGTGCCGTTGCCAGAAGATAATTCAGAATCTTCTGAGCTGCCTTCCAGTCTCTCTTCTTTGGCTCATGAGAGTGCCTCGCCACCGCCCGCACGGCATTCGAGATGTCGGGCCTTGTCCCGTTGGCGACCCACATCAGGCACCCCACCACCTCTCGGAACGGCACATCTCCTGCCTCCTCATCCTCCATCACGGACCTGTTATCATTAGCAGGGGAAGCAGGGATCGAGCTGGTGCGACAGATTTTGAATCTCTCAAGCACACTCCTTATGTAACTCTCCTGAGAAATCTCAATCGTGCCAGCCTCGCGGTCGCGAATAAAAGCGCAACCAAGAAAGAACTTGACCTCTCCCAAATTCTTCGTAGGAAGAGAATCGCCTAGTGCCTCTACGACCACCTTGGCAAGACTCTTAGTTCCTGCATACAGAATGTCATCCACGTGAATCGCGACCATCCCCAATACCTCGTCTCCCATCATGAAACGCAGCACACAGGGGTCAGACAGAGACTGCTCGAAACCAATCCTCTTCAGATCCGACACAAGCCTCTTGTAAAATGTCCTAGATGCCTGTTTCAATCCGTACAAACTCTTGTTCAGACGGACAACCTTTCCTGACATCGAACCACAGCCAGGAGGCAACTTCATGAACACCTCGTGATCCAACTTCGACTGAACAAACGCTTGCTCAATATCCCAGTGGAGTAATTCCAAATCATACTTGCACGCCAATGCTACCAACAATCGAATTGATGCAGCATTTGCAGTAGGCGAGAAAGTCTCAAGATAGTCTACACCATACTTCTGCCTGAAGCCCTTCGCGACAAGCCTAGCCTTGGCCTTCACTATCTTCCCTGTTTCGTCTGCTTTCCATTTGAACACCCATCTAGCATCTATCACGTTACAGCCTATTGGGATCTTTACCGCTAACGTGAAAGTTCCTGCCCTTATCAAGCCTTCAACTTCTGCAGACATAGCTCCATCCCAAATCGCGGCGTGCTTCGATTGCCGGGCTTCCTGATAGCTACCAGGTTCAGACTCTACGTCCTGAACTAGTTCTTTTGGCAATTCCACTGCATCACCTGCTCTCTGCTCCGCCAACAATGAATTTATTATTTCTGTTGCGAAGACGGGCCCTAGGGTGGCCACGAGGCCTGGCACGCTCTGCTGATTAACTGCACGGGTTTGCGCGCGAGTTCTACCTTCTCTTACTTCATCATTCTCACGCGCAGGGTTGTTGAAATCAGCTAGCTCAGCTACATGCCGCGGACGACGAGCAACTGGAGGAGATGCCTCTGCCTCTACCTCCTGCCCTCCCGGCCCTACAGGATCTGTTTCCTGATCTCCCGGACCCATCGACTCTATTTCCCCCACATCTTGCCCTCCCTGCCCATCACCATCGGTGAACTCAGGTGCTGGAGAAGACACAGAGGGAACGGGCGAAGATGGCACAGAAGGGGGAGACGGCGATCGACCTACACTGCCTGCGTCAACACTTTCAACCACATCAATTGCTTCACCAGAGGGGACCACTGCCGCGTTATTTCGCAACAGTGTGTGGGCAACTCCCCTCCCTACAAGCGGCCATACCTCAGTTTCTACATCGTTGTCACTTTCCTCCCCTCCCTCCTCCGCAATCTCTATCGGCAATGGAGGTTGCGGTGGAGGGAGTTGTGACGGCAACGCCTCCCACGTTACATCCCTCGTTTCCTGAATAGTCCCAGCCCTCGTAAGTACTCGATGACAATCACGCGGGTGGTCTCTCGAAGGACCGACATAAAAGCAACTCTCACCCTTCGGGAAAAGTTTCGACGGTCGCTGCCACTTGCAGTACGCCGGTTTCAAAAACGGATAAGGTCTAGCAGGACGGGCTTCCCCATACCACATTTCATACGGCGATTTAGAGTCGGGGTTAGCAGAACAAGCCGTGTGATTAAGTGCCTCGCAAGCCCAGTGCATCGCCTCAGCCCAGAGTTTGTCAGTCTTAGGTAACTGCACATGCCCAAAAAGAACTTTCGCCTGAATACGAGCCGCCATTGCGGCCTCCTCTATCAATCCCAAGCCACGCTCTGCAACACCGTTGTATTGAGGACTATGAGCTGGGGTGAACTCTTGCTTAATCAAGAGCTCATTGCACACAGATGCAAATTCTCCACCGAAAAACTCCCCTCCATTGTCAGATCTAACAGTCTCAACCAATGATGGGATTCCATCAGCACGCACACTAGCAAGAAAACTCCGGAAAGCACTCGCAGCGTCTGATTTATTTCTCAGAAAATAGATCCATGCACGCCTTGTGAAATCATCCTTCACAATCATGGGGTAATACTTCCCCCCGACAGACACAACGGCCTTCTTCCCTCCCAGGTCAACAAAAACTCTCCCTAACTTTTTATCTGATCTACGTTTAGTTTCACGAGCAATCCCTTTTCTAATTGCCTTTGACATCGAACATCCCGTACAAGCATCCAGGCTACCAGTCAACTCGGTACCCAATCGCTTTGCAGTAGTACGAAGCAATCCTTCATGTGCGTGAGCATAAATGTTATGAAAGTCGTTCACATCCATACTCGTTTCGTGCTTGGGGTTTGAAGGAGTGAGGGCAGCCAACACCGTTCCAATAGAGTCATTTCCCAGACGATACGCAGTCGCGACAAGCATGCCATCGATATTTTCAAAAGTCACATGTCCTTGAAAAGCAGTCATCACACCACGAGGACCACCAAGATCATTCCATGACTCTCCATCAAATTCTGCGCTGGGGGAGAAAAGGTTGTATCCCAAATTGGGAACGTACAGCACATCCTCCAACTCTACCAAAAACTCGTTGTCAACAGACACGAACACCAATTCTAGGGTTCCTGAAAGGGCTACCTCACAAGTCACACCACCAATCCCTTTTACGTTCTTGTGACAAGGTTTCACGTCCTTCATGCAGGCGAGCGAGTCTGTCATGTGGAAAGCAGTACCCGTGTCCGCATACCAATCCTCGATGCACCCAACCTTCTTAGTAAGAGTAGAGTATTCACGAAGAGAATCACGGATAACACGATCACTGCCGACCCAATCCCGACACGTATCTGCCGCTTCACCGCACAACGATTCAAAATCGTAAAGAGGATTAGCTCTACGAGATTTTTCCAGCCAACGCAGCATTTAGTCTCTATGAACGACGGGTCATTCGAGCAAAATACCACCAGAGTTTCACGAAGAGTCTGGTACTCAACAGAAAGTCCCTCGAGCATCAGGCTACAGATCTCCCTGTCATCCTTCTTGACTTCAAGCATTTGCAGCACACCAAGCGTTTCACGAATAGACGTGAAGAAGATTGCGGGATTTTCGTTTGAACGCATGCGCAGTGACTTTAGTCTCTCTTCTTGAACGCGAATCTGGCTCTGACTCAACGGCAGAAAATGATCTTTCAGTACTCGGAAACCCTTGCTGGAGGAACCAGCGTGACGAACCATTGTTTTCAGACTATCTTTCTTTAAACAGTCGAAAAGAAACCACCAGCCCATTTCAGCCTGGCGAAGCACACCCACACTGAAGCCTTTCTCGACCCAGGGGGTCAAATCAAAACTAATGTCAGCAATCGGGATTTCAGTCTCAGAAACAAACGCTTCAATCAGATTGTGGTGCCGGGCACTCAGCAGAAAGTTCTGCGACCATGAGGGGTACGACATATCTGTCCCGTCAAAAACAGGAGCCTTGGGAACTTTAAAAGGACCCCCACCCAATTTCTCTCCTGCATCAGTGCCAGCCCCAGGAATCAGTGTGTTTCCACTGGCGACACTTTCCCACCACCTGCTCGACGGAGTAGGTGCGGGAGGAACAGAGGACTGGCTACGAAAAGCCCCACCTACAGTCCCGGAAACGAAAGAAGACTGGCCTACAGCAGCCCCACTTCCAATTCCAATCGAACCAAAGCTTGCAGCACCAGCAGAGGAACGATTAACAGCGAATACATCAGGGTTCAAGCCTGAGCCAACAAGGCTACTACTCCCAACCCCCATGCTGGACACGCCAAGGCCTTGGGCATCGCCGCCCGTGCCTCCCGCGGTCCTGCCGGTAGCATCATCGGAAGAATGCGTACCACCAGCATACTCTGTTCCGCCGCCTCCCGGCGCGGCAGCCGACACAGAGGACTCCACTTGCTCCTTCTGTTGATCAACAAGCGACGTGACTAGAGTCGTAAGTTGGGACAACTGCGTCTCTAGGGAACCCATCCTCTCACCAACATCCTGCGGATTACCCTGACTTTGGCCACCCGCAGGTGTCCCCGGTTCAGCCATGATGAGACAGGTTGATCAGGCCTTTCTCGTACAGCAGTCTAGTGCAGTCCTAGGGGACGACGGAGCAGTAGACACCAACGCTATAGCGTGTTGGTAAACCCTTGGCTCTTGGAGAAAGATGTTGTATTATTGAGAAACTGCCCTCTGAGACAGGTAGGCAAAGTGGAGTGACAGCGTGTGGGGGCTAGCTCGTGTGCTCCCAGCACCCCAGCCAACGATCAACACGCCAACACAAACACTATCGGAACAATATACTACTCGCAACGTTCCAACAACGTAATGTTCCGATCCCTACAACCGAACTAGAACAATTCCTGTTGAGGGTAATCATCCCACGTGCCACATCCATGCAACGTCCACACAACGTGCACCTAACGTGCACCTAACGTGCACCCTACTGACTATCTGCTGATCCAACTCCGAACAGTATAACTTCCACAAGGAACTTTCTCTGGAACTACACAGACAGACAGTTCTGATATTCAAACCATCCAATCAGATGATCTACAGCAGCAGTTCAACCGATACACACTGCCGCTACATCACCAATAGGCGGAACCTCGACCGAGCCGATGGCACTTTCCTGGTGGACACGAGAAGGCGCTGTAGATGTTCCCAATTGGCACGAAACTTGGCGCGAATGTGTATTGTTGTGTAGAGAGCAAGATGACAAACTCTTGCAGTGATTTGTTGCACGTAGCCGGCAGGGAGGACAGATTTGGCAGAAAAATGCCATCCGCGCGGTGGCGTCATGCTCAGGTGTCTCAAGTCTGCGTACTACAGAAAGCCTGGTGCCTTGTAGCTGCCTCTTTTACGGATGTACAGCACTTTGAATTAGGTTGCATCATGCTCTATAGGCCGAGTACGCGTAATCGGCGCGCACCATATTTTGAACCGGAACCCACCTGTGTGTAAGTTCTTGTTTCACCGCGAAACTGCGGGACAACCAAAAAGAAGAGCCCGTTCCTTTCTTATCTCTGTTTCGCGATGATAATTTTTTCGACCCCGTTCTGGTTTGAAAAAGACACAAAAAAATCACGCTCGATAGTAATTTCCGATCCCGGGGGGGGAAGAAACCCGTCCGCTACACTTGTGTATACATACGTTTAAAAGAAAGAAATACTTGCAGGTTTGTGGGCATTTCGCCGGCAGGGCGCACGCAAATTTTCGCAAGCAAGTGTGGTAGGGCGAGGTCCCGGTCTGCTCACAGAGAGCATATCGTGCGTATGAACAGGAGGGGGTGGAACGACAATTCCACCGCCGATCAAGTACACGTACGACGTTAGGTTGCAGGACGGCCATACTCCGTCAAACGTTTTTTTTTAGTTGGGTCGAGCAATAGTCCACACTATGTACAATCAAGACTGCTTCTAACGTCGACCCAAATGGTATATACAGTCAAACACTGCAACAGTCAGCGGCGCCAAAACTGACATAAATAAACAAACATACTGAAGTGACTCCCGAACGTCACACACGCTTGAAAATATGGTCGAAATAGACAGCAGTCCTTGCCGCAAAATATGACGGCAGGATCTTGACCACCACAAAAAGAGGAGTACACAAAATAGCTGCACACACACACACACACACACACACACAGGTTGTACACTACAGGAGCCCAGAGCCGAACTATCACGAATGAAATAAAGGCAAGGATTGCAGCCAAGAGGGCCAACGGTGGTGGTGCCACCTACCTATCCAGCTCGTGCGTTTCCCACCCACCCCCACACAAGCACAACCCCACAACATATTCTCCATGGTCTCCTCCTTCTCCAACATAAGCTATTTCGCACGGAGGAACCTGTCGTTCTCACTGCCACCATTTTGTCGCACACAAGCAGAAGCAGCAAAGACAAACAGCGGAAAGGGCACGCGGTAAGTATAAGGGTTGGTTAATGAACTAGGGTCACCTCGGGTTTGTACGTGCTAATACCATGAAATCGGACCACACACACGTGAACCCGTGCCTCACCCCTTAGTTTATGGTCGAGAAGTTGGTAAAAATACAAACGGGTCCAGATACACACCTCAACACGGCTCTTGACCCCTGAGAACCAGTCAGCTCCCGTCGCCCCCCATGGACCTTCGACTCCCCCCGCATCTCCCCACCCTACATCCGGGCCGCCCTCCGATATGTCTGATCCCCAGTCGCTGAAGGCATCGCTGTAGTCAGACGCATCGGACTCCCACTCTGGGATTTCATCTCTGCCTTCGTTTTCCTTCTCCTCCTCCTCCGCTTCCTCCTCTCCTCCCCCCTTCTCCTTCGCTTCGGTCCCTGACGAATCATCCGGCGCGGCAGCCTGCTGACTAGCGGCTGCCTGCTGACCAGCGGCCCTATACGCCAAAAGAGAACGAAGGGCTCCGGCTACGATGGCAGATCTCGTAGGAACGAAAGGTGTAGCAGGAACGGGTGGTGAAGCATGAGCGGAAGGTGTGGCAGGAACAGTGGACGCAGCAGGAACGCTGGAGGTAGCAGCAGCAATCCGAGCCTCAGGTTCCGACCGTCGAATTACTTCACAGGTAGCCCTGCACACGCATGCCAGCGAGCATTTCCTTCTTGCTTTTCGACAGCCGCACCTCACGCAGAGACTCTTCTTACCCGGGGCCGGTTGGCACCCACATTTCTCCGTTTGCGTCTTGTTGTCGGTGCCAAGGTAACAATACTCAGTTTTCCGCTGTCAAGTGCCCCGTGCTGCCCCCCCCATCCCTTTCGGGTCGATTCCCCATCCCCCACCGTTGAAGTCTCGTGCTGGTACCACCTCTAAACAGCCATCTTGCCAGTACCCAAGTACCTGATGGCCTCGCTCGCTCTGCAGGCGCATGGACTCGAACGCAGGGCACGTTGATGTAGCCCTCTTTGAACCACGCCTGAGGATAAGCATCCGGATGACGTCGACGTAATGGGTGACATCGCCGTTGACATTGCGGAGAACCCAGCCGGGCTCCTGGCCACCACGAGCAAGGGCAGCTTCATACTTGAAGTAGAATATGGTCACCAACAACTTGATGCACTCGTCGATCTTGATGCCCCATACACCACCCTCACGCACGAAGATAGACGTGCGAAACACACCCTCCGTTCGCACGCTCTTCAGAGCAAGAGCCCACATGGTCCCGAAAGAACGGCAGGCAGGAAGTCGCAACCAGCAAGCAGGTAGACAAGGACAAAAAGGCGAACCTTCTCATCGTCGTCGGGAATCCCACCCTGGAAACCGGAGTCTGTCGTGGGCCACACAGATTCGTTGCCGTCCCTGAGGCCGCTGATGGCGGCGAATACCCTGTTTACCCAAAGGTACTTCGGGGCACCACCCACAACCTTCTGCACGGTCACTTCAACCGCCCCCTCTCCACTGGCCTTGAGGAACCCCGTACTCATCGCCAGCAAAATGATCATCCGTTGGTCCGTGTCCACCGAAGTAACCAGCCAGTTTTCAATATTCCGTCCCCAGTACTTCTTGGCCCACACGATGAAGTGGACGAGAGACAGCTCGGCCTCGCCAATGTTGGGGCCACGTTCTCGTTGTACCGAACGGCCCGCGCCCCGTCGGTAGTGGAGAAGAGGGTACTCTTCCGCAAGCGTTGGCACTCCGCCCTCCTCGGTCCCGCCCCCACCAGAGCGCACGGTGCTGTTTTCGACGCTACCGACCGGCGCCGGTATCTCTGGTGATGTGGCTGGTCCTCCCGGTAGCCCCCCCCCGTCCCTTACCGCGGGGTCAGCGGCATCAGATGTTCTCAAACTAGCCTCACCCCCGACACCGTAAAACGCTACGATTCCGTTGAGAGTGCAGCCTCCAGTCCACCTCTTGTCGTCGAGTATGCCCATGGCGAGGTGCGCGGCGATACCACCTCGCGCTGCCTTCTGGTTGTCACGAAGCCATGACTGGTATTGCGACGGGGGAATGGCGTCCGTCGATGTTGGGTCTAACGAGAGAGCGCATCCTCCGATCTTGTCCGCCCTTCCCAACTGCTCGCGTCCTTTGATTGCCGGGACAAGTGAAGCACGGTCGTTGCACACCAGGAGCAGATCCGCTCCCATCCGCCACCTCGAGTCCAACTCGCTCACGAAGTAGTTGATAACCCCCTGTGCCCCACCCTCCAAGTCTCGTTGCCTCACCCCTTGATGTATCGACACAGGTAGGTCCACTCCGTAGGCATGCACGGTGTAGAACGGCTCGTCGGCGACGGCGTCGGAGCTGTGATCTTGGAGCCACTTCGTCGGGCCTTCGGATTTGTTGGCATGCTTAGCCCCTGTACCGTTATTTGGCCAACACACGTCATGGACATGGGGGAAGGGATTGGACAGTGGGGGGGGGAGGGATGGCGTTGGTGGTGCGGTTAGTGCGTGGCTTCGCAGTTATGTAAGTTGTTGCCTTCACCAAAAACAAAAATGGGGCTCTGATCAGTATCTCAGGACATCGCTACACGTAAAAGGTAGTTGGGGAAAATGAGAAAAAAAAAATACATATACCACGCGGTACAGTTATGCATATGTATGATTCGACCTATACATGGAAATACTGTCATGGTGCAGGCAACGTACTACACATCACCGTTCCGACTATTGACGCTGAAGAACACCGATAACGATCTATCCGCACCGTTAACTTCGGCATTGCAATAACGCAAACATATTTTTGTCGTCAATCTGTTGTCGTGGTAACGATACACCGCTATCGGTTCGTGGGTCAAGTGAAAATAAGACATGAAATAATAATAGGTGCCCTCTTTCGATTATACCCTCTCTCCCTTTCCCCCTACCCCGTCCTCTTTCCCCCCTTTATTAATCCATCGACGTATCCCTCACCTCCGGTAGCATTTGCCATGCTAAACGGCGTCGATGCTCCAATCCTCGTCGCCATGTCCACCACTTGTTCCTCAGACAACGACCCCCCTCCTTCGATCATGTCCCAGATGTTCAGGACCACCGCTTTCATCTCTTGGCACCCCGCGTAGGCGTTGCCAACTGTATCCCTCAGCTTTGACGACCTCCCATTGCTCCTCGTCGACTCGTTCTCTGTGTTTAAAGCCGGGATGGAGAAGATCTTCTTTTTGGTGGCTCCGTTCTTCGTCTTGTCCTTCTTGACGAAGTACAGCACAAAGTCCTGCATCTTCGCTAACGCCGTTGCCGAGGCACCAAGAATCTCTTGCCACTTTGCCTCTGGAAACACCCTCTCGTCCAAGGCCACGACCTTCCCCTTGCCTAAGTTGCCCTCAAATAACGGGCTGTCTCGCAAGCATTGGGTTGCTTTCATGACCGCAGGCGCACGCAGTAAAGCCAGCTCCCGGCAACTGTCCCGTTCCGTACGTGGCCCTTCGAGGAATTCCCGCCCAAACTCGAATTCATCTATCTCGCGAAGCTGAGCAGTCGGGGCTAGCTTGTGGATGAAACTCGGAAATATCCTATTCGTCAAGGTCGTGTACAGACGATTGGCAACCTCCTGCCTCTCATCCAAACCAAGCCGGGCACACGCATCCTTGCTGAGCGAGACGGAAAAAAAGTCGGACATCACCTTGAGATCTGACTCCGACATCCTTGACATCTCCGCAAGGTGATCCACCACCAGGAATTGGTATCGGTCCTTACCGCTGATGTAGAAAATGGGAGCGATACGGCGAAGTGCGTCAAGCCGCAGCATGAAATCTCCCGTGCGCATCGCTGTCCGGAAGGTCATGTAGGCAGGGAAGACGTGCAAGAGGAAGTGCTCCCACAGGGCGAAAGTCTTGTGTTCTGCCGCTCGCTTCTTGATCCACGCAACCACTATGCTGTCGGCATCCTCCGCCGGCATGTCTTCCCCCGGTGGAACGCACTTCTTCCGACATAAAGACATGAGTGCCTCCCACATCACAAGTTGGTAGTGTGCCCGTTGGTAGTTGCTCCCCTCGCTTGACTTGCTCTTGTCCGTGCCCAAATCCTTCGGCACGAACTCTACGCCCGCTCCCCGATACCGCTTGAGAAGAGCCTTCGCCATGTGCAAGAGGAGATGCCAATCACCCGGGTACCGACGAAATTTTCGATATGCAATCCGCTCCTGCTTCTGGATGTAGTACAAGACGCGATACGTCTCCTCGTCCCCGGCGATGATTCACGGCGCGCCGTCCTTGCCGGCGACCGTATCACGCCATATCCGGAGGATGCGGTCGATGGCCGTCTTGTTGTCGGTGAAGTTTTTTGTACTCTCTAGTTGGATGAAAGCGTACCGACCGTCGAGAGTAACTCTCTCCTCGGGCGTTAGATCCTGTGTCGGAAAACGAGGTTGTGGAAGCGTGTGTCACCTAAGCAGCAAATTCTAAGGGGTGGAGGGACTAAGCAAGACAGAATAACGTTTGCTTTCCCTCAACTATCGCGTCCACATCAGCAATCCTAAGAACGACCAAGATCAACCAACAATAAGTGAAGTTAAGAAATAAAAAACTCATCACCTTGCATTTATTTGCTCACCTCCAATGACATCACTCAGCAATCAAGCGTTGCAAGGCGTGTACTTTTGCTTCTTTTACGGTCCCGCATTTCCTACGTTTTCCCCAAAAGGGACAACCATTTCCGAAAATTGGTGACTCACATCCTAACGGAAAGGTTTCCCTGGATGAACCACACCACACCAACCCACCTTTCGGAGTCGAGCCTCCACACACCACAGCAGCCCGCCCGGTGTCGAACCTAAGGACGCACTCTCGTAAACGGCACGTCGGAGCTGTGACTGCAAGGCCTCGAAACGTCGCTCGCCCCCCCGTGCATTTGGCCCCTTCATCACGTCGTCCAAGGTCAGGAGGCTATACCGCTTCAACCTCGAGGCGCCTTCGAGTGTACCCACCGATCCCCCGATCTTGACGGCCGAAGCCGCGATCGTCGACAGATGAGGCTTCCCCTGGCTAACTCCAACCACGGGTTTCATATCACAGTTGTCAAACGGCAACGCACCACAGGTGGCATCCTTTGGAAGCATATCACCATCCTCCACGACCTTCGCATTAACATCCTCGATGCCGTACTTGCGAATCCGTCGCCCACATGCCATGGGCCGCGCAGAAGTCGACCACCACCCAAGGGGTACCTTTCGACTTGGCCCACTGAGCCGCTTTAATATGATGCGAAGCCCATTACTGTGTACCTCAAACGGCTTTCACTACGCCCGTGCACATCATCACAAGCTGCCGACCTACAGACCGGAAATGACGGTTGGTATTGTCAATCTCCTCGGCATCTTTTTCAGAGGTAGGATGTACAGACGGCCCCTCTGATGCCCCCGGCCCCCGCCCCTCGATGGAGGTACCGGGAGATGATGCCTGGCCTCCGTCCACTACGCTCGTGTCTGCCCGCCTCGACTCGACGCCTCTGTCGCCGTTGCCGCGATGCCGATGCACATCGCGCCACCCGGCCTCCCACACCCAGCCCGGTCCCCAACCTGTGGGGGCTAGGGAGCTGACCTTGCGGCACAACGGCTGGTTAATTGGCCTCTGGAAAAAACCTACTGTGGTCGGGGGCAGCGCGGTTGGCGTCTCGGGAGCTGATTCCACAGTTGTTGCCAGCTCCTGGGCATAGTTATGTTTCGCTCCATTGGGGGGTACGTTCTTGAGGCTTGGCTGCTGCCCGATGTCTGTCCGGACAATCGCTCCTGCTGCCTTGACCACCGCCATCCTCGCGTGTCCAGCCGCTACGTCCACCTAAACCCGCTCCAGCTCTTGGTCAAGAAGTGATCCTCGCCCCTCCGAGCTCTCGGGTTCCTGCGCGGCGAGGTCATTCCTGCTCCGAGACTGAACGAGGTGCCCAAGGATAACCTCGTCCCGAAGGTTGCATGGGAAGAGACAGAGATGCCTCTCGCGTGCGTCCTCTCCCTCAAGATTTGCTTTTTCGGGACAGACCCCCCGCGATGTACTCCCGGGAGACTCGGCGATGCCGGTGAACATCCCACGCACGATCTCTCGTGTGTACTTCCCACCAACCTCTATATCGCCAGCCTTCGCGCGTTCGGCTGCTAGCCACTTCGCCGCGTCCTTCCAATACACGATTCCCCTTGCCCGACCGCTACCTCCACCCTAGAACGCACTCTCTCCACCGCAGAAGGAACCCCCGCCGCTTCCCCAGATACTTCACCAGCACCTGAGGGCCGTGCTTGGAGTAACTCGGACGCACCAGCCACCTCGGACATGCGGACGGGTGGCTCTTGCAACGAGGTCGGGGCAACACTTGCCTCGGTTCCACTACTGACTGACGTACGAGATGAGTTGGTACCTGCCGGCACGCACTGTTCACTACCATCCGGCTCCTGTGACGCCGAGGTGGCGGGAACAACATCAGGTACGCTACCGGGTGCGGTTTGGGATGAGGTAGTGGGAGCAACGACATCGGGTCCAGTACCGGCTGGCGTTTGCGATGCTAACGTGGACCTCCAGTGCAGATCCCGCATATAGCAGGCTTGGCAACGCAAGGAAGCCTCACACGAAGACCCCCCCCGTCCTTGTCATTTTCCGCGGGGTACTATCTCCTTCCCTTGACCGGGAAAGCTTACTTGCATTCGTCGCACTCCCTCTTCATCCCCGTCTTGACGCCCTGAACAACGAAGGGATGGAAGCAGCCTTCGCGTTGGCAGAGGCAATGACTCCTAGCTGGACGATACACAGGCACGACGCTCCCGGGTAGACTCGTTCCCCTGGCGCAGAGTTCGATAGCCGCCGAAAGGCGACTGAAGATGTGCGTGAAGCCCTGCTCATCCGCCGGCCTGTGACATGCGGCACACAGTTTCTTTCCAGCCAAATGCTCCCCCCGTGGGCACAGTTTACATGGCTCGCCGGGAGTGGTGGTGACCCAACCGCATTCCTGGCGCCCGCATGCCTTCGCGCGTGGCTTCCTCTCTCTCGTGCTTCCGTCACTATCGGCAACTACTCGTGGTGTCTTTCCATCTTGAACTCGCCGCCGAGAACGAACTCCTGGGGTAGTGCTCGCCGTTTTTTGAAGTTCAGCCTCGGCGATCTCACGTTCCTTACGGGCCTTTGCATCCGCCTTCGCCACCGCCTGCTGCTCGTTGTAGAGCACCTCTGCAACCTTTTGCGCCAACTGCGGTTGTAGTAGAGCCAAGGAACGTCTGGCCTTGACCCTCGCCGGGCGCTTCTTCCATGATCTTCGCCCCGAACCTTTCAAACGTGCGCCAGAATGTTGCGCCCGGCGCTTCGCCTTACTTGCCCGAGTTGTCTGTACTGCCTCCCCAGCGTTCTCACGACGTTGCGTTCCCTCTTCGTTGCCTCTCGCAGCAGCTGGAGAGGATGGGTTCTCCGTCTGCTGGCCACCGGCCGGATGCCGCGGGGACATGGGCGGTGAACAACCCCCCGCTACCGAGGGGAACAGCATAGGGGGGTGCAGCAAACCACGTCTTTTGTCCCGGTTAGCCATGGAGCTGCGTGATTGCACACGATCATGAAACCACCCTGAAAGCGAGGTCGGGTATCGTCACACAAAAGAAACGACAATGAGTTCGTGGTCAGCCTTCAAGTTTGTAAGGCTGCGGTGCTCTCCTTCGCGGCACCACCTCGAACTGTAGTTTCCAGATCAACACCTTCAAACGTGCAGTGTTTTCCTTCGACATGTGGCCAGCACGAACGGGTACGCCGACTCACACATGTCGAAACGTGGACCAAATGCTGAGCTTGGAAGGTTGGACATCGATTTCATAGCGATATACATGCAACACGCACTACTGTAATATTGTGTATTGCGTTGTTTTGGCCTGCTTTCGCTGTGCATTACACCCGGCCGCGCACGTGCGTGCGGATGATTACATTCAACATATAGGTAGGATCCACGTGGCATTTTGAGGTTTGACCTCGTCATGCTTAGGGGTCTCTCACCCAAATGAAGTTATTCCTTTTGCGATAGGTGGGCATGTGAGCTGAGTCTGTCTATCGATACATGTTTACTTGTGGCGTGCCAACCTTGTGTTCAAGCACCCGCCGCCGTATACACGCGTGCTCGTGGGTGCTGGCCACCACCCGCGGGATCCAACAACAAGCTTGAGTTTTCACATCGTCACGTAATTGAAGTAATTCCTCTCGTACTAGGCGGGTATGTGAGCTTCATGCATACAACAATCAAGGTTTGGTTGCATCACGCCAACCTCATGTAAGTGCACCCACCACCGTACCACAATGGTGGCTACGGGAGCTGCCACCACCCCAGGGATCCAACAACAAAGTTGGCTTGTGATTTCGTCATGCTTAGGTGTCTCTGGACCAAATGAAGCCGTTCTTTTTGCAATAGGTGGGTGTGTAAGCTGAGTACGTGGAACAACTGTGAATTTTCTGCATCATGCCAGAGTCATGACGAGACTGAGGTGCTACTGCTGTTGGGTACCTCATGTCGGTGGCTGCCTTCTGGAGGTGCGCTCTGAGTCTATTCCAGATATCAACTGCTACGCTGCACAACCGGTCCAAAGAACCTTGCCGACCCCTAGCGTATGAGTAATCCAGCGTACCTTTATCGGAGATCGGACGCCTACGCTCCTGCTTTTCTCTCTGTCGACGTTGATGTACGATGAGCACTGCGCGGATCTCGCCGCGTGCTTGGCAGGGTTTCCAGGGGGGGGACACGTTTCCGTTGGAGGCCTAGTTTTGCTTATATATATATATATATATATATATATATTTTTTGCTACGCGCAGCACTGATCCTGTCCCTTGTTTTATTCTTCCGCGGGGAGTTAAATCTCTCCGCGCCTTCCAGACGGAACCATTATCTTCTATGTTCCGTCTACACATCTGAATCCTTTAACACTATCGACCGACCTAACCCACCCTTCTCCCTACCCAACCCAACCCAACCTGACCCACTCGCTTATCAACCCCAATCCAACCAACTCAACCTCACTCCCCACCCGGCAATCCAACCGAACCCAACCAACGACCCGGTGCACCCCAACCCCAACCCCCTCAACCCCAACCCCAACACCAATCACATCCGCAACCAATCACAACAACTCATCTCGCTCAGCCTCAACCCAAGACCCCAGCCCAACCCCAACTCAGCCCAACTCAACCTATCCAAACACTGTCGGTGACATGTTCGTGGGTCTATGGTACGGATATGGTTAGATATGTTTGCCGTACACGCTTTGTGCCACGCAGATGGTAGAGGCCGTATATGACACGAGATAACGCACACCCTGGACCAATTTTCGAAGCTTGATTACGCCATGACGAAGAGGAGATGCATAAATGAATCAATACTTTTTCGGAAAACTCTCGACGGGAAAGCTTCAAGGCCAGCGTTTTCGACGCTGTGACTCTTTCTGCTGTTGAGGAATCGATATTTGAATATCGGTCCAGGGGATGTGTTGTCTTGTGTCATTTACGGTACTTGTGCAGGAGGCTCGGTGAAAATACAAGGGGACCCTCCTTACTTGCACAGGTGGCCAGTGGGCACGGTCGTACAGGGGCGTTGTGTAACCTCCGGCCAACGAGGGGCTATTACATGGGATAACGTGGGGGGGTTACAGGCCGAGCGGGCAAAACGTGCCGGGTTATGAAAGCGGTTACGCGCGGATTGGTGTGAAGAAGGAGGAAATAAAACAAAATGTGTGAGCTTTCCCCTCTCTTCCATTCATTGTATTCCACTGTAGTACCGTTGGGTTAATCAAGCGATATATCGGCAGACAAATTTCCTCTCTTTCGAGATGACTAGCGCAGGAATATCACACAACGCGGAGGGGACCGAACCAGCGAACTGTGTCTTTAAAGTCTAACGGTGTATCGCTACGATATTCGTTGAAGCATATCACGTGTTACTCGTAAATTCCATGAATCTATGGTGATGGGGGGGGTGTACTCATAGTCGTGCATGCCGTAGTCCTCAGACCTTTGACCTCGCATCCCTACAAAGCCGGGACCGAGCACGCTGGGGTCTCACCCGACCAGGCTCTCACATTACCAAGCGCGAAGCGCCGTGAGATATTCGGCGAGTCGCATGAAGCGTGCGCTGCATCCTGCTAAGGGTGTTCGGCATCTTGTGCTTACTTCCTTGCGTACGGATGACAGCTGCGTATGACTTAATTTATTTTCTGGTGCTTTCACTCCCAGAGACAGTTGTAAGCATTGTGTAACTGCCTCGAGGGTGCTTGACCATTTTAACACAACGTGGTGCGATCATCCCCCTTGCGCCGAGTGGGGGTTCTCCACCCCGCACAACATGATCTACTCGACCACCATTCATTATGGTTACCGCCAAAAAGAAACAGAGATACAAATANAGTTGTAAGCATTGTGTAACTGCCTCGAGGGTGCTTGACCATTTTAACAGAGCGTGGTGCGATCATCCCCCTTGCGCCGAGTGGGGGTTCTCCACCCCGCACAACATGATCTACTCGACCACCATTCATTATGGTTACCGCCAAAAAGAAACAGAGATACAAATAAACGGAAACCTGGTTGCCGAGTTCACGAAATGAATTGGCTTGTTTTACAACGTGGTTGCCAAGCGACGAAAACCCAATCCTGATGGCAAACACCGAGGGGGGGAGCGGGCGGGGGGTGATTTCGGTGACACAAGAAGCTTCATTTTGGTGCATTGAAGTGTGAAGTTCGACAAGGAGCAGCACGTGAACTCCCCCGCCNGCGTCCTCGAGAGGACGGAGCATTGTTCCCACAGGCCCGATCACCGATGACCAATCGTTCCTTTCTACTCTGCCAAAGGTGGCTCAAATGTGTCTTCCCTAGTCTGTCTGTCCTAACGATATCCCTTCCCGCCTTTTCAACCCACCTCCTATGCCCCACTACAGCTACCGTCCTTTCCTCCCTATTCCA